CGAGGGGGTGGGCATTCGCTCTGTCGGGCTTCAAAGCGACCCCAGGGAACGCTTCCTGCCACCGTCCGTGTGTGCTGGGGCTGCGGGAGGGGCGGCAAAACCCTCCCGGTCTGGAGGGAGTAATTACAACTCGTTTCAAGAGATGAGCTCTAAGAAGGCGTTTTGTTCTGTGGCAACATAATAAAATCTCGAGTCATTAATTCTCTTCTGCCTCCTTGAATTTCTCCGTTTTCATTTCTAACTCCTGATTCTCCTTTCCCCCTTCCCTCTTCTTACTAGAGCAATCATGTTTGAAATTAAGAAGATTTGCTGCATTGGTGCTGGTTATGTTGGTGGGCCAACCTGTAGTGTTATTGCACAGATGTGTCCCAATATCAAAGTCACTGTCGTGGATGTCAATGAGGCCCGAATCAATGCCTGGAATTCAGACATGCTCCCAATCTACGAGGTAAACTTGTCTCATGGTTGTCTTTTCTTCCAGCCACTGTTGCAATAGTTCCTCTCCTACCACATGGCATTTCCACTTCTGAAGCTTGTTAAGGTAGCACAGTGATGTCCTTCAGAAAGAGTATTCTGGAACAGCTACTTTTCACTGTTGCTCATTAAACCAGATCTTTGAAATAATGTATCTGGTGCAGGCAGGTAGTTAAGGATTATTATGAAGGGCCTAGTAAGGAAAAAATATAAGTGTATATCTAGTGAATTGTGCTAAATCATGCTGATTTTCTATTGGGACTCAATTTAGTAATAGCTTATTTCTCTTACTCAGTTATAGATATTATTTCCTGTGTTGTAGTACAATATGAATGTGTGATACTGAGTGGTAAGCTTTATTCCCATTCTGAGTACTGCCAAAATCCAATCTGTGCTGCCATGTGCTTAGCCATGTTGTAAGACAGGGACAGTCGTGTTCCTGATCCACTTGTACTGTAAACCTGCAATCTGGTCTGGAGAGACTAGGCCAGATAAAAACTGTTTTTAAATGTATCACCCTGTCACTTCTTCATTACAGAATTACTTTAATTTGAAGATATATAAAGCATTTTTCTTTTTTGCTTCTCTTAGCACTTGTTATTTTTCATTGTTCTTCACCCTTTAAGCTCTCCTTTTTCTTTCCTTCATTCTTTCATGAGGTGGAGTTTTAATAGGCTTGAGTTCTTTAATGGGAGTGAAAACTTATCTTCAGTTGGCTCCAATAGAGAAAGCATGTTGCCTGGTACTAACAGTTACTCTTGCTATAAGAATTGTTTGGAATTGTGTCTGTGCTATAACAGTTATGCATATTACCCCACCCACCTTCTGTCTTTAAGTGAAGATGAATAGACCTCCTTTGTCTTACATACTCAAAGGAAAATGAGTACAATGCTCAGTTTAGCAGATGAGACGTGAACAAAGATCATGAAAGCAAGTACTTTGTTTTCCATAAACACTTAGATGGAGTTGAGTTATAGTAGAATGTGCTAGTTTGAGCAGAATTAATTTTCTTCATAGTAGCTATCATGGGCCTATGTTTTGGATTTGTGTTGAAAACAGTGTTGATAACACTGGGATGTTTTAGTGACTGCTGAGCAGTACTTGCACACATTCAGGTGGGTATTTTTGCTCCTTGCCCCACCAGCCAGTAGGCTAGGGGTGCACAACAAGTTGGGAGGGGACACAGCTGGGACAATGGAGTCCAACTGACTGAAGGGATATCCCAGACCCTATGATGTCTTGGTCAGCATGTAAAGCTGGGGGAAGAAGGAAGAGGGGGACATTTGGCGTTATGGCTTTTTTCTTCCTGTTTAACCGTTATGCGTGATGGGGCCCTGCTTTTTCTGGAGAAGACTGAGCATCTGCCTATGGGGAGTGGTGAATTAAGTCCTTAGTTAGCTTTGTTTTTGTGCGCAGCTTTTTGCTTTACTGATTAAACTGTCTTTATCTCAATGCCCAAGATTTCTCACTTTTACCCTTCTGATTCTTTTTCCTGTCTCACTAGAGAGAAGTGAGTGAGTGGCCATGTGGCACTTAGTTGCTGGCTGGGGTTAAACCATGACATGGAGATACTCTTGGCATGCTTTAAAAATAAACAAAAAACACCAAAACCTAATTCACAGCATCTGTTTCCTGGAATGGTGTTCTTTGCTTACAAAGAATGTACAAAAACTGCCAAGAATTAGTTCAGATGGTTGTAAAATTGAGTCACTGAACAGAGAGGTTTTTTTGTATTGTGGGCTTTGTCTTCCCAGTGTCACAAGTTGTCTACTGGGCTGCTCTTTACATCCCAGTAAGACCATAGCTGGAACATTTGATGGGTTTTAACACATGTTATTCTGCCTGTGCTGACCTTTGTTTTCCCTTTAAGTAGGTGGTTGGTATAAAGTGAGACAGCAAAAATGTCTTGTATAAGAAAGCCTTTGCTTTATTTTCCTCTCCCTCCCTCCAGTGAACCTTTGCCTTTCTGACACTTAAATATCTCGTGTCATGATAGGTGTGTCTCAAGCTGGAGATTTGATTGCCAGGTTACAGTGTGTGACTTTATTTTTCAAACAAAAATTAAAAGCTGGTTGTATCTATGGCAGCTGTATCTTAGTTAAATCTTTTTTTAGACCATTCTACTGCAGAGGGTTGCTCATGTGCCCGTCGCCTCCTGCTTTTATTGTCTGAGTGGACATGTTAAGGGAAGAGAAAATGTTGCAGCACAGTATGTGTCTCTGGTAAAAAAGTCTTATCAAATTTTGTCTGTGATTCTTCCACACTGCAGGTGTGGTGCCATAAGTTTAATCTTAATCCAAAGATGGGTGGTTGCTGAAGGGAGTGGTGTTTATCTCCTCCATTTCTCTGCTGCTTTTCTTTCGCTGGATGTGGGCCTGCTAGTTTGGTGAAAGATTTCTTTGCAGTGTTCTTGTGTGCTAAATCAGTTTTAGATCTGATGTTGGGGAGATCTTGGAACATGTAGTTGAGGGGAAAAGAGTTGGGACCACCTCTTTGGTTTGCAGTTTAGGCAATGTTGTAAGACTTTACCTCTGGAATCTATTTAACATCACTCTACAGGTATTTCTTTAATTGTTGCTCATTGTAATAGAATCAAGCCTGGGAATAACCGAAGCCTAAAATCTGGTTGTGCAAATAGCAGTTCCATGTGTCTGCAAGTTTCGAGACAGCATTTTGAGTGTTTTGAATACAGAAGGGCTTTATTTTTTCCAATCTGTAAATCTACAGAAGCTTTACTTTACACCTGGCTCAGTGAAAACATTGGAGGGAGGTGTGTGTGGTGTGCATAAAAAGAAAAAAAAATAATATTTCTGTATGTGCAATGATACGCTGTTTATTTGGGCATGCAGTTTACTGTTCTAACTGCATTAACTTTAACTATTGTGTTTTTTTCTGCTTTTTTCAGCCAGGGTTAAAGGAAGTGGTAGAATCCTGCCGAGGAAGAAACCTCTTTTTTTCCACCAGTATTGATGATGCCATTAGAGAAGCTGACCTTGTATTTATTTCTGTAAGTTTAGAGGGGAGAAGGTGGTTGTGTATGTTTGTCTTTTTTTAATTTTTCTTATCAGATCATGTTTTCTTATGGGGAAGAGGCCTTCATTTTGTCATATAGATTCAGTTAGCCATGTCATGTCACTGTGTCAGTTTTGTCCTTGTCATTTTATGTACTGTGGGGAAAGTGTTAAGTAAGGACTCTCAGTGAAAGTGATAATGTCGATGTTTAGCTTGGTTAGATGTGTGGGGTCTTGGAGCAGAATGTAGTGTAGATCTGTCATTGCAGTACGCTACTAAAAGTTGTAGGACTTTAATAAATCAACCTGGTTCCTAGATAGGGATGCAAAGTCATATATTGATTATTGTGTAACAAAGATGACTTATTTCTTGAAGCTTCTAAGAAAGTGTAGTAATAAGGGGCTGGCTTTAATATTTCTAAGCTGTTGACACCACTAGGAGGAGGATCCAGTCAAACAAAAACAGTGTGGCATTTTGTAATCTAGAAGGTTGTTCCTAATGCAGAATTCAAAAGAACTGATTGCTGTTCATCTCTGTAGGCCACAGCTGAGTTTTTTTGTTACTTAAGTCCTCTTTTCTTGAGAGCTCCTCTTTGTTAAGGCACCTCAGTACAGAGCTCTCTTTCTGACAGTAATTTTCTCCATTCATTAAGTCTAAAATGAGTGCTACTTGGCTGGATGACTGCCACTAATACAGCCCATATATTGCCACCTGTCCTTGGCTTAAAACATGCTTTTGTTTTACATGTTGTCATTTCTTCTTTCAGTTTCCAATGAAAAGGACTCTCTGTCTAAATCTAAGTGATGTGTTTTCCCTCACGTTGCTTTTTTTTCTATGCTTGAGTGTAGCAATTTTTAGCAGCTCTACACTTAGGTTTCACTGCAAAGTGGGTTTAGACTATTACTTCCTCAGTAGCTGAAATATTCTTGTGTAAATTTTCACACTCTGAATGTGGGACGGGAAACAAAAGGTGACTGGCTGTAATCATAAAGAAATTACTGTTGTTTCCAGAATAAGGACTCAGTCTCACCGAAGCCTTGCAGACATTCTATGAATTGCCCTTGTTTAAATTCTATTTGAATAAAGGCCAATGAGCTTACTTTAGAAAGCAAAATGGGTAACTGATAAAGCTAATAGCTATTCATCTGATAGTAACTAGAATAATTCTGGCGTAGAAGCAAGCTGGGCTCTTGGAAGGAAAATATCTGTCATTCTTAACAGTTTTACCTTGTTAGTACCTCTTGTGTTAAGAGACCGGTAAGATTTCCTCCACCTCCATGCATTTCTAACTAGGTTAACACTCCAACAAAGACTTATGGGATGGGAAAAGGCCGAGCAGCTGATCTGAAATACATTGAAGCTTGTGCTAGACGAATTGTGCAAAATTCAAATGGCTATAAAATCGTCACTGAGAAAAGCACAGTTCCAGTACGTGCTGCAGAGAGCATTCGTCGAATATTTGATGCCAATACTAAGCCTAACTTGGATTTGCAGGTAAGCATAATCTCCAGGTTGTGTATTTAAAGGCTGGTTATTGCTTTTGGCTTTTTGCCTGTTGTTCTTTGTTTCTGTGCCTGTAGGTGCTGTCTAACCCAGAGTTCCTTGCAGAAGGAACAGCCATCAAGGACCTGAAGAACCCAGACAGAGTGCTGATTGGTGGAGATGATTCTCCAGAGGGACAGAAAGCTGTCCGTGCTCTGTGTGCGGTTTATGAGCACTGGGTGCCCAAAGAAAAAATCCTCACAACCAATACCTGGTCATCAGAACTTTCTAAACTGGTTAGTGATACTTACTGCTGTTTTCTGTGATGAGCAAGGAGTGTGAGACAAAGTTGAGAAGCAGAAGTTCACTGACACTGAATGATGCTAGAAAAGACAGATGAGGTTGGGAGGACCCCAATGTGTATGTCAGAGATATTCATACTTTTCCACTTACCTCAGCTGAGCCAATAGATGATGTCAAGTTTCCATGAAATCCTTTTCCTGCTTTTATTGCAGTGTTATTTATTATTAAGAGTAAACCTCCAGTGCTGCACAAACTGGTTGCCATCACAAAACAGTTCAGACATTGCAGGTTAAGCTTTGCATTGTTTTGCTTACATCCCATTAACTAGTATTTAAATATTAAATACTTTGTTACCATTTTGTATCTCAACAGAGTTAACATAGATACTAAAGTAATCCCTCCAGTAGTAACTCCCTCTGGCCTGCGGGTGTCCTGATTCCTGGAAAAATCAAGTTCTTTTACTATGCTTTTTTTATTTACAGGCAGCTAATGCTTTCCTTGCCCAAAGAATCAGCAGCATTAACTCAATCAGTGCTTTGTGTGAAGCTACAGGAGCAGATGTTGAAGAAGTAGCAAGAGCTATTGGAACAGACCAAAGAATTGGAAATAAGTTTCTCAAAGCCAGTGTTGGTAAACAATTTTTTTTTTTTAAATTTTTTTCTGGGCTTCTATTGATAGTGCAATAGATCTACTAGTAATCTTTTGAAGAAAGTGATCTGATACTTGAATCTTTTGCAGCATGAATGTGTGAAAATGCTGCTATAGAGCACTGGCATAAATTGGTTTTTTTCCTGCTTGAATGTCTAGAACTGAGGTTGTTCTAGACCCTGGCAATCTGAAACCCAGGAGCTCAGAGTGCATGATTTGTCCTGCCTGGGATACTGGAAAGAAAAGCTGCAGTATTATTTTTTCTGAAGCATTGCTGATGATACTGCTGTCCAAGATATCTTCCCAACTGTAACTGCTGCCATTTTTGGGGGGAGTTGCTGCCAGTGGCCTAAGGAAGGGGATGCCTCTAGGTCAGAATGTGGAATGGCAACTTCTAGAGTGTAGGATGAATTTAGTTGTTTAGATCTACTAAAGTAAGATATCATAAAGAGGTGATCAGTACAACAAACTTTCAAACTTATGAAAAAAAGCTAAAGCCCATCTGTATGGCTACAGTCTTCATGCTAGAAAGAGAAAGTGTGACTTTAAAATAACCTGATTAAATATAACCTCTCCTAGAGGTTATATTTGCAAGAGTGAAGAGCAGATAGCAAATACATTACACAAATTCCTATTAGATTGTTATTAATTCCTGCTACAGCGTGTTGCTTCTGGGAGTCTGCTGAGCAAAGTCCTAGGATCCCTCTTAACTGTCTCAGTTTTCCCTCTAGTCAGCTCTGGTGACCTCTGGTTCTTGGCAATGATTAGATATTCCTTTGGGGAGTAGGAGAGGAAAGAACTTAATATTAACATACTTCTGAGAAATACTATCTAAATCTCTAGGTGGGAGGAGAGGAAACCCAGAAGCTTGTCCACACACTTGTAATAAAAAAAAAATAAATGTTTCCCCAAGACTGGGTTAAAACTTGCATTGACTTCAGTGATCTGAAGCAAATTTTAAGGCTTCTGTAACATACAAAGTAAGTAGGTCCAGGAGATGGATTTTAAGAGATTCTTAAGGTGTGATTTGCTAGCAGTGAAATACTTGGAAAGATTATAATGCTATGTCAAAGACTGCCAGAAACAAAGACTGGGTTAGAATAGTGCCTTAGTCACCTGTAAAATAATAATTTTTCTCTTTCAGGGTTTGGAGGTAGCTGTTTTCAGAAGGATGTGTTGAATTTAGTGTACCTCTGTGAGGCACTGAACTTACCTGAAGTAGCCCGCTACTGGCAACAGGTACAAATTCTTCACAAATTTTTTGAGGAACTCGTGTTTCTTCAGCATTGAGCTTTCAGGCATTGAGGTTCTGATCATTGTCCACGTATAATCTGGTTCAGCTTTAAGGAGAAGATACCTTAATGTTGATCATCTTCACATTTTAGGGCCCTCACCTAACTTTGGCATTTGATATTTGTGGATACCTGGGCTTTTTTTGGGTGAATTAAGTTGTCTGCATCAAATGGATCAAACTTTCCAAATGGTTTGGAAAGTTGTCTAGAAGTAGCAGTAGAAAACGTGAAGTACAAGCGTGTCTGTACTCCTGTGTTCTTATTGAACTTGGTGATCTCTCGGCTTTGAGTTCAGAGCTTATGTTTTCCTCAGGATCTACTTTTACTGAAAGTAATCAGAACTTGCTATTCTTTAAAAAAAAAAAAAACCACAAAAAAACGTGTTTACTGCTGTTCTCTGGTTGATGTTAGGAATAATTGTGAAGATGCTGATGCCCTCAAGTGTAATAGTGATGCAGCAATACCAGGATGCTCAGACTGTACTAGCAAGTATTTCCATATTAACCAGTGAAAGCAGCTCATCCCCTTCCCAGTCCTGACTGAGGAGGCAGCTTTAACATCTATAGTATGGTCAAAAGAACAGCTTTGGTTTATGGTCCTTAGTTAGGCTGTGGTCATCAAATACCAGGCTGCCTAGCAGATACCCCCAGAATACCAAGGACGTGATTCACCTACGTTATTAGCAGCTTTCCTTTTTTAAATCTTGCTTTTGTTTAGTTTTCTGTCCCCCTCACTTTTCTCCATCTCGGCCTGCTACTAAATAAACAACCTCCCCATGATTACTTTTTTATCATTGATCAGTTGTGCCACATACCTACTGAAGCCCAATATTTCTTATCCCATTACCTAGGTCATTGTGGCCATGTGGTACTGCCTATGGGGTTCCTTAGGCTCTCTGTGGCTTTGCAAGGTTCCCCAAAAGGTCCCTAATACTTCCTTCCAACTGTCTTAAGGCCTGGCTGGATCTCACTCATAATTTCCCCCATGACTGCTTGTAAAACTCAGCATCTCTCACAGTGCTATCTGTGACTTTGTCAGCTTCTTACATTACCTGTGATGTCCAATGGCTTTCTAGATCCTGTTCAGATAGTTTAACCTCCAGCCAGGGGATAATCAGCTGCCTTGTTCCTTGCTTGTGACTGTAACTCTTATGTTAATTGCTTGGGACGAGCAAGACATAGGTTTATGCTATCTGCCTCTGAAGAGGTTTGGATTGACATCCACTTTAAAAATGTGCTTCCTTAGGATAGTTTAGTCCATGGTGGCGAGACTTGCAATCCCCATCAGTGAAGAGAGAGTAAGATACTGCATGAACCTTGTGCAAGCATCCAAAGAGGTTTGGTTCAGTGTAGGACCTGGATGCATTGGCACAGCAGGAGAGAGAACGGGCCCTAGGTTCTGATATTTGCTTTAAGAACTATTGCTTTTGCTCAGTATAGGAAGTAATCAGACAACAGGAAATCCCTGGAGCAGTAGGAGCTAACCATGTTACCTGATAATCTGATAAATTTCAGTCTGTTTTGAAAGAGACAAATGGGTTTGGCTCTGTCCTGTGAGATCACAAGGGTCCTTCTCAAAATGCAACCTACTTGGTATCTTGGCAACCCAAAGGCATAAGAACACTGTGCAGAGGTGGTGTTTTAACTTAACAAAAGCCTAAAAGGTTGCACTGTTAGTGTGAACAAACTAGTTAAGTGCTTTTATGCTCTCTGTTTTAAGAGCAATTCATTGCAGTGTTTCTATGTGGTTTATTAAGCTGTGGACTAATTGGATTATAACAATAGCTGCTGCAGAATTAGGATAAGGTGAAGTGCTATGCTCACGTAGTACAGCCCTTCACCTGTACAGCCCTTCTCCTGTGGTTTATTAAGCTGTGGACTAATTGGATTATAACAATAGCTGCTGCAGAATTAGGATAAGGTGAAGTGCTATGCTCATGTAGTACAGCCCTTCACCTGTACAGCCCTTCACCTGTACAGCCCTTCTCCTTTCTCAGAGAGAGGAAGAGGTTCTATCTGCCCCAGCCCGCACTGGTCATGTCATATAATGCACACACATGCACACCTTCTCTGCGGTCTGAGCACTGCACTGTCAGCAGCTCACCCCAGGGCATACATGTGGGAGACATCAGACCAATCTGAGGACAGGATGCAGATTCTGGAGGATGTGCTGATCAGAGCAGCCCCGGAATCTTAACTTGTTAGTATCTTTCACCTTTAGGCAGGACAGGGCTCTCTAATACTGAAATCTTCATTGAAAACAGGCTTACTCCCTTTGCCCTGTCAGTTGTTACTTTTGTTCCTCGTCACCACTCTGTTGAATTGCATAAATCTCGCTGCTTTTATTTATTTTCCTCAAATAAATCTGCTTCACCAGTATCCTTCTACTGCATCATTTATGCCTTGAGTTTCATAGGCTGTTACAGTTAATTCTTGATTTGAGTTGAAAACCTCAAAACCAAGAAGGAGTGTAGTTCTTTCAGTCCATGCTGAACACCGAGTAGGTGGGGGAACTTACCTTTCCTACTCTGCTGGTGACCCAGTGCCCTCTGTGTGTTCAGGGTGGGAGACGGAAGTATGATACAGGCTGGAGGAAAGTGCAAGAACAATCGGAGCAAGTGAACCCACTTTCATGTAATATCAAAAGTGAAGCACTTTGTAGTTAAAGTGGATTTTTGATTTTTGTATTGAAATCTGTTCATGTGGATTAGAAAAGCTAAAAATGTTCTCACAGTTTTTATACATGGCATGTAAGAAAGTATAAGTCTGGCAACTGGATGCCCATGTGGCATCAAGTACTCTACACTGAAACTGCTTTCCGTGGTTCTGCCTAGTATACAAGAAGTCATAGATTTAAAAAACAAAAACAAACCAAAAACATGAAAAAATTCTACCCTTTGAACTAGATAGTGCATGATAGTATGTTTGTGTTTGTATCTACTGTCACTGATTTAAAATAGAGTTTGTCTCAGAATTTGATAAGCTAACCGAATTTATTTTTGGATTATTTATGATACTTTAAGCTTCTATTTAAGCTTCTATTAAATTTAAGCTTCTATTAAATTTATGTGTCGGTAGCTTGACTTGATTGTTAATATAAATCTGTTTATAGTTTAAAATGCCTCCCATCTGTACCATCATGGTTTTTTAATTTCAGGTAATAGACATGAATGATTATCAGAGAAGAAGATTTGCTTCCCGCATCATTGACAGCTTGTTCAATACTGTCACTGATAAGAAGATTGCTATTTTAGGGTTTGCATTCAAAAAGGATACTGGGGACACAAGGTAAGGAAGCGAATTCAGTTCAGTAATGTGGGTTCCTGGCACTTGTCAACAGCTATGCAGCTAAACCACCCAACTGAATTGCATTAATAAAAAATAGATCAGATATGGGACCCCTAACCTCTTGTAACTGAATTGATTGGTAGCAAGAATAAACTTTTCTTAAATAGGTAGGACAATTGATTCCTGACCTCTACAACACACCTGAATAATTCAGAAGCTACAGCAGATAACTGAAGTCCTTGTTAACTTGCATAAGCACAAATAGATTTTGACAGAATCACATATTTGCAACTGGTTCTAAATTGCTATGTGAAGCCAAAGTTTCATCTTTGCTTCCCAAAGGTAGTTAATTCTATTTTCCTCTTAAGCTCAAACTTGATACAACTCTCCAACTGCAGTTTGTGGGGAATGCTTGTAAGCTTGATGCCTCGTTAATTATGGTCAATAGGAGTCCTGGGGCTTAGTATCTCTCTTGTGTGATTTAGCAAGAGCAACGTAACCTTGGTTTTCGTATTGCTCTTCTTGGTGTCCCTCAAGATTTCAAGTTTGCTGCTGGCGTGGATTACCACCCAGATTTCTAAGGTAAAAGGAGTATAAAAGCTTTGGCATTGATTCTCCTGACACTTGAAGACTTTCATTACTTAGAACATACCACCTGATTCTTAACTGATTTTTCCCTAGAGAGTCATCCAGTATTTACATTAGCAAGTATTTAATGGATGAAGGAGCAAAGCTCCATATCTATGATCCAAAAGTACCTAAGGAACAAATAATCTTGGATCTCTCGCATCCAGGTGTCTCAGAAGATAACCAAGGTAAGAATGCTCATATAAAGCTTGTTTCCCCCCTTTCTCTACCCACCCTATCCTCAATATACGCAAAGTCTGTTTAAACACTGTAAATTCACGGTTTTCACCATGGCAATGTGCTGTTGTTACACTTATTAGAAGATTGTCGTAGTCTGTAACACTTACTAGGTTTAATGCTTATTAGAAGATTGCCATACTGTAACGCTTCCTCGCTCTTCCTTCTTTTCCCATAGCTTTAATAGATGAATGCTAATTCTGTACTGTAGTATATTTTTCTTTTGATTAAATATTTGTTTGAGTACATGCAAAGAATTTTCTCTCTGCACAATTGAAAGGAAGAGAAAGAACTATATCCAGAAGTAGGAGAGACTAACGTTCTTCTGTCAGCTCCTTTGTGTTCCAAGTCTTGTCTTGCTTTAGTTCTTGCTTGCATATCTAAAGTAGAAATAAAGACATAATTCTGGAATTCACTGTAGACCATCTTCTCTTCCTCCATATCACTTCCTGTTCCCTTAAATTCAAGAAGACTTTAAAGTAATCATCTGTGACTAGAAATTTGTTGGGGAAAAGCAGGGGCTATTTGGGATTTTTATTTTCTTATAGGGGAAGAGGAGAATGGAAATGATGGGTGGATATGGGGAGAAAGTTACATCAGGTGTCTAGAGGTAAAGAGAATGGGGGAAAATGAGATGTGGTGAAGAAGAGTCAAGGGGGAGGGGAGAGTTGCCTCTGGGCAGCTCCAAAGCAGTCAGAGGATGAAGGCAGCCCCTAGCATGTATCTTCTCTAGTGTGAACTGGGTGCTAAGTAGGAGCTGTGATGTGCTGCTCTTGTACAGGCAGTGACCTTTGTGAGAGCTGGCCTTTGAACACTCTGTAGGAACTCCTAAGTCTAGAGATACTCTTGACTACTTATGTTTGAATGCTTAACTTCACACATTTAAGTGCCCTGACTCTATTCGGATACCAGGTACAAGCTGGTTTAATTTAAATAAGTGAAATCAAAGTGACAAATGTCTTGATGGAAAACATGTCTAGGTGAGTGATGTGAAACTCCTTGGTTGTGTGGGACAAGGAAGGAGACTTATTTTCTGGTGGTACACCAAATTTATGCTCAGGAAGTGTGCAGAGTAAAACTTCTTCTATTACAGTGTCTCGGTTGGTCACTATCAGCAAAGATCCCTATGAAGCCTGTGATGGAGCTCATGCCCTTGTAATTTGCACTGAATGGGACATGTTTAAGGTAAATGTTGTCTTCAATTTAAACTAAAGAAAAATGCAGGGAGTGTTACACTACTTGTTTATTCTATCTGCTTCAATTTCCCTTTACAGGAACTAGACTATGAACGTATTCATAAGAAAATGCTGAAGCCTGCATTTATATTTGATGGTAGGAGAGTTCTAGATGATCTTCACAATGAGCTACAAGTCATTGGCTTCCAGGTAATCAGCTGGGTGATGCTGCTTCCTATATTTCTTTCCTACTATGATGACTGAATGCCAAGGGGGGAAAAAACCCAAAGAAAAACTCTTTAAAAACAAAATCTCTTCAATAGTGCTGTCTTCCTCCATTACCTTCCTATTTTCATAGACTGATGCTCTGTTGAAATTCAGGTTACACGAGGCTGTCATCAACATTCAGCAGTATAAGCATGCTTTAGAGTCATACAATCATTTAGGTTGGAAAAAACCTCTAAGATCATTGAGTCCAACTGTAAACGTAACATCTGAATTCCATTTTGCCCTTCTTTGGACAAGGGAAATCATGCAGAGTTATGAGATAGATGTAAAAGAAAACCCTGCTGAATCTCACTCCTAAATTCATTCTAGGTAATCAGCAGGATATTTGAGTCCAAAAGTAGCCCCTTCAAGAGTTTCCTAAAGTCATGCAGTCTTTGCTGCTGTCACCCGGCAGAAGGGCTGAGCTTGGCATCTGGTGTATGCTACAACTTGTGCCACAGCCCCTACCTGGAAACTTACTTTAACACCACCATACGAAAAAACCCCATCATTTAAAACTGACAGTTACAGGATAGCAAGACATGCTTTCTTCAAAAGTAAATGTAAGCTGTGAACACCCTTTTTGCTCTTTGCAGAAGACATAAGGGTAATGCAGATAACAAATGTTCGTCAACCAGTGAGATTCTCCACTGGGACAGACTTATTAAGAGGAGTTTTTGGACTCTTGTCCCCGAGGTCTGCACAAGAAGGCTGCCTGACATTGAAGATGGAAGCATTGTATGCAAAGATGTGTCTGAAGATAAGACAGTGAAGTGCTAAGGTGTTACATGGGAGGCTGGAGATGATGGATTAGTCCATTGTGATTTGATTTACATCAGCCAGCAGATGAAAACAATGATGTTTGTTAGCACCAAAAAGAGGACCCAGAAGTAACCGCTTAATTTCTTAGCTAAGCATTTTGCTAAGCTCATAGCAAATAATGTATCAAATTATAACCAGTGTGATATTTCTTGTAGGAACTTTCTGAAGTCTGTGCCTTTAAAGATTTTCCAAATCAGAGACTCTACCTTTCCGTTTCCTAGTTCTTGGGTGACTTTTCTGTGAAATTCTAGTTGAATTTTTGACCAATTCAGGAGTTCGTCATCTAGGTTTATTATCCAGACTTTCCATCCAGAATATCATTACAAAGGCATTCAACAGTTGACCTGTATTCTCTGTATAATATAATAAAAAGGATTTTTTCTTAAATGGACAACCCCAAAATGTATTTTTTTAGGTCCCCAGCCTTTTGAACTGCCTTTGCTAAAAGCTATTGCACAGACAGCCTGATGCCAATAAGCAATTCCATGATATGCAATTCAAATATATGAATTGGAGCTGGTTTAATTTTTTTTTTTCTTAAACTGGAGTTTAAAGAACTTAAAACACAGCTACCATTTCAATTATAACTTGTTTCCATAGTGGAAGCTTAATTCAGGAAATATGAATATGAATGTGAAGCTCTGTAGTTCAAGGTCAAGTAATTTCTGATTTGAGGGGAAAAAAGTCTGCTCAGGTCCCAAGTGAGGAAAGCAGAGTAAGCCTTGATTGAAGGGTTTGGAGCACTTCTAGCGTAGACAGAATCTGACTAATACTAGAATCACCCAATACCTGAACTATCTGCTAGAAGCATTTCAGCAAGTCTAGGGCAGAACAAAATCTCAAAGCCAGATCAGATGCATGTTTCAGTTGTGTTACGTTCTGGAGTTGCTCTGGAGTGCTGTGATGATTTACATGGTGGTTATAGGCTTGCTTGCTTCCTGCTTTTTTCCCCTGCTTAAACTGCAGTTATTTATACTGTTCATGAACAGGCTTGTATAAATCGATTCAACCAGTCAATTGAAGCTGTTATGGGCAAATATGGCACGTACATGTCACATGACTGTTCAAACACCTCTTTTCACAGCTAACTCAGATGTCTGCCTGGGATATCTTCATCAATTTGCTGTTCGCTTTGTAATAGCTGAAGAATTTTGTCTTTTGTTGCTTTGCATCTGACCTGTGCTACTCAAGACGAAAGCTACAGTTCTCCTTATTTACTGGATGTCTGAACTGTTTTGCTAGTTAGTGTTTTGTACTCTGCAGGCTCTGTCATTAGTGATTTACATTAGTCTGACCTAGAAATTGCTGTAACCTGTCTCCCTCTTTGAATTTTGCAGTACCAGACTTATGTGCATGTTGGCTTTGTTACATGCTTTCTCTTTTATAGAGTTGGCTGCCTTCAGCCTTCCACGGTTGTGTTATTTCAAAACAACCACAGCATTAAGGAGGGGAAAAAAGCTGCTTCTATCCTTCTTTATTGGGTGTAACTTTTTAGACAAAGGTGGCCAAACTCACATTTTGTGAACACCCAGAAACATTTTATGCGCTCTGTACTGATAGTCCTATGGAAGCTGAGGCACACAAATGTTCAAATTAGCAAAACACACCTTTAAATAGGCAAAGCAGGCACCTGCGAAAGGCTGTTCTTAAAAACAAACAAACCACCCCGAAACCACCTCCTTGCAACTCCAATCCCAGAAGCTGTCGTGTCTGGGCACACTGTTCTTTTGTGGCTTGTGTTGTTCTAGTGTTCATGGAATGTGGTCATGGTCCTGGATCTCATTTGTAGATTCCTCATAAGCTGTCAGGATAGTTAGCTCACCACACTCACCTGTTAAATGTGTTTTCTCTTTCAGATTGAAACAATTGGGAAGAAGGTGTCAGCCAAAAGAATTCCTTTTGCTTCTTCATGTGAAATTCCTAAGTTCAGCCTGCAGGACCCACCTGTCAAAAAGCCTAGAGTATAATGTTTAATAGGTATTGAAGGAATTCTGTGGACCTTCTTAGTGATAATAACTGTAAACCTATGCTTTTTTTAAGGAAAGATATTTTTCATAAACTAAACCAGTTTTACACTAGAAATGGTACCTGGTACATGTGAATTCAGTCTATTTTCAAATATCTATTTTTATAGCAATTTTTTTTGGATTACTGAAGATGGTACAGATTTGTTTTTAATAATGAATTGTCTTTTAAGTGGAAAAGTTACCTTCCAACTGCAGATTTCTGCTTCCAGAAATGTTCATAAACTGCACTTTAAATTTTTCAAGTGATATGAAAGCAAATCATAGGATCATTTAGGTTGGAAAAGACCTTTAAGATCATCAAGTCCAGCCGTTAACCTAGCAATGAGTATCTTTTTACTTTAGTCCAGTAATGGACAGTGATTGGGGAACTTTGGTCTCACCAATTTTTTCATTTTCTTTTGGAGTAATTCTTTGCCAAGTTAAATGCTTGCTCTAAGTGGCATCAAAGCCAAAAGATAAAGTTCTGAGTTTGGTAGGATTTGGGTTGAGCCCTTAAAGTAGAACTGATTGCAACAATAGTACCCCAATCCCAGTTGGGATCAGTTGGCACTGATGCATTCGCAGCTGCAGCTGTCGGGAGGCCAGATAGTTCTGCAGGTATCCATCATGTAATTAATGACAGGGGACTAACAGCTATAAACCAATCCACTGTCAGATCTTCACTTTTGGTTATAGAATCATTAAGGTTGGACAGGACCTCTAAGATCATCGAGTCCAACCATTTCTTGCCTACATTCCATGTGCAGCCATGTAAATTATTGATCTTACTGGATTCCTGGGGCAAGTTTTTCCTAAGTTACAGCAATACAACCCATCTTCAGCAGAGGAACATTCTGCTTATTTAAACATTTGAGTTGAAGCAGAATTGCCTTAATTTGTTCAGTCCAAGCAGAAAGCAAATATTGGCTTCAAAGCTACCTGATAGTTTGGGTTTTTTTATTTTGTTCCTTTCTGCTTCTGCTTTGTCTGTAAGCAGCTTTCATAACGAATCTGCAAAAATTATTCTCTGCTGTTCAGAAATTGTTAAAAACAAACGTTCAGCCCCTCAAGTTAATCAGCTTGCTACCTCATTTAATTAGCAGGAAAAATACTTCCTATGTTATCTTGGTATTTTTTGCCTTTACTATTATTTCTATTTGTTTTTATTATTCTCAGTTGGCCAGTGCTATTAAAGTCCTTGAGATGACAGAGTTTGTGTTTGGCTTGTTGCATGGGGTTGTGAAATGGAGGGGAGGATAGAGAGGGATGACCATGAACCGGTTTCAGACTAGAAGGTGTAGATGTCTTAGGTGGGTAATAGTAGTGTCAGAATGTTAGAGAATTATCCTGTAACTAGTCACGTAATACCTTCTGAATTTATTTAACAGGTGTGTCTTCAGGTATGCTGTATCAATAGTTAAACAGAGTGTAGGATCAGTGTCATCTTGGTAATGAGTGCTATTATCGTAACTATTTACCCACAGATATGTACATACAGTTTAAGCTCTGGGAGAAATTTTTGAAGATTTAAGGAACTTGTCTAACAGTTTGGGTAGACAATACAAGAGAGCATTATCTGACTGAAATAGCTCTGTCCTTGAACTAGATGCTTTCAGATTCTGCACGTTAATGGCTTTTTCACAGAGGGACTTATTATATAGCAATCACTCAGCACTTCAGGCAGACGTGTTCTTGGGCTTTTTGTAAGATTGTTCTGTGAGGAGTGCATCAGAAGCCGCTCAAAGCGAGTGTGTATTACAGGGGCTTAAAATCAAACTGTCATGTTTCATCATGCCGTCGCCTCTTCCCCGTTCAGTGGTGCTGCTTTCAAACACCACCCACAGAGCAGGGACAACTCCGTGGATACTGCTGTGCTATCTGTACGCATTGTCATCCTAGGGGTAGATCACCCTGTCTTTGCAGGTAGGCATCCTCTTGTCTGTCTGCCCCCAGAGCACCCAGGAGGACAGGCTGGTTGCTTCTCCTTGGAGATTAAGCAGAGGGTATTGACAAGTTGTGCTCGAAGGATCTCTTGTCCTGAGATCTGTCCAGAACAGCACTGCTTTCTGGGCTCATTTTGACAAGGAGGGCGAGTGGAGGCTTCAGAAACTTGCGTGCAGTTGTAATAGCAGTGCCTCTGCACGGCACCTGTCCTCACTGGTTTGAAGCAGATTTGTGTGAGGCGCTGCTCCTGTTAGGAATATGCAAGGCTGCTCAGTGTTCCTGAAGCTTCCAGTGGCTTTTCACATGCCATCCCAAGGAGATGGAGGAACTAGGTGCTACACCTACTATTTATCTCTTTCTCCTGCAGACTTAGTCAGAGCCTAGATAGTGACTTGTAGTTTAATCATAAAGATGATAAAGGATGGGCAAGTTCATTATAGTGGGATCACTCTAACTCCCCATTCTGAAGATCCTTTCTGAAGAGCAACCAAGCGTAAAACTGGTGCTGGCATTTTCCCTTCTTCACTGGAGAGTTGCCTTATTTAGTTTCTTGGTGGCTGCATTATTTTTAGTGGGACACTGGGGTTGTGGGATGAATCCAGTCTGAAAGGCTGGTGGACCATGCCTTCAGGGTACCGCAATGCTCACCTCGCTCATGTGCAAGAGAACCTTACCACAGGCCAAGAGTGAGCTCTGGGAGCTTTTGCAGCACTGTGAATCATAAGCCATCATCTTCAGAGTACAGTTGCCAGGGAAATGAGAATTGGAGATGATTTGCATT